AGTTTACACACTTTTGAGGCCTTTTTTCCTATATTGTTAAATAGGTTCAAAAAACATTTTACAAATTGTATGCTTACTTACAGTGAGTGCATTTATTCTTTGCTCCTCATACAAGTATCCTTGCCAGTTTAGAAGATGAAAAATGTAATTCATTATTTTCATTTGTATTTTTTAAATGACAAATCCTGTTGAACAATTTATTTAGCAACCGTTTTGTATTTCTTTTGCAAGTTGTTAAACTAAAGAGCCTGGCTAGACAGTAGTGGACGTAATAAAGGTAAATTAAAAACCAGAGGAAATGAATCCAAGTCATCACACTTGCAGTTTACTTAATAGAATTCCCTTTTGGTTGTTGTCATTAATGCTTATGTTATGCATCTGACAGATTGAAAATGGAAGCCTTGACCGACAGAGAGCATGGAATGATAGACCTTGACAGTGGAGATGAAGTCCAGCTGACCGGAGGGCAGCCTACCGAGGAAACTCTGGGTGAACCTCCTCAGCCCTCAGAAGCCTCAGCCTGGTCTCTTCCTTTGAGTCAGAATAGTGGGAGTGAACTGCCTGCCAGCCAGCCTCAGGCATTTTCAGCCCACGGAGATGTGGAAGACCATGACGATGATGACATGATCATAGAAGACTATGAGAGTGATGAGACATAGGACCCAGGCTGCCAGTCAGATTGCTACTTGAAAATTGGTTTTAGTTTCATTCAGTGTACTGTGAACAAAGTTGACACACATTTCAGGTGAATTAGACACTGTTCATCCTTCGCTCTTTGCCCAGAACTTCAGCACAAAACTGACTCTGTCATCCTGACATAAAAAGGTCAAGCCTTCAAATAACTTCAATTTTCTCGTATTTATTTAGTCCTGTGAGTGTTGTAGAGAGGAGATCAATGTGTGTGAAATGTGTTTGAGCATTAAGCCAAGTAATCAGAAAATGTGAAGGAATGGTTCAGAACATGAAAACTTTTACAGGAAGTTGTAAATATGAATTATAAAGTTGAGGCTGCATTTATGAGTGTAAATAAACGCCGTGCCTTATTTACA